TGTAAAATGCTTTACAAACTTTAAATATGTTTTTCCTTCCATTATAGCTAATTATACTTTTTGTTCTCTTTGGCTCACCTCACTCTCATCTTTATATGAGAATAAGAAGATAATGAAAAAAATGGAATGTAATTAACCCTAGTAATCTATAATTGAAGTATTCTGATCCTATTGCTCTGCTTCTCCTCTCTCCAACCAGGCCAGAGTATTTTGGATCATTGTTTTTTACATTTCCTTCTCTCCTTTTAATTCCTCTTTTATGATCTACTTCTGAGGTAGATTTTGCTTATGACCATTTCCTCCCTAACACTACCTTCCCTCTTACACTCCCCTCTGTCTTCTAACTTTCTCTGCTTCTTATATCACAGGTGAATTCCATGTATTTCTCCATTCTCACTCTGTGTGTATGTCTTTGTGTTCAATCTACCTTTCCTTTCTCCACACTCTTGGCATTTTTGTTTATTCTTCTTCAGGCTCATTTAGTTATAAGAAATAGTAAATTCTTTCTCCTTCTTCCTCAATTCTACTTTAGCGTATTTCAATTCCCTTTTTCTTTCTCTTTTAAAACCAATAAAACAAAATGAAACCATTCCCAAGATAGATCCTATATTTCTCTTTCTGTATGATCCTTGAAGGCAGTGGGATTCTGAAGTGGTACTGGTTAGAGACTTTGACCTTAGAATAGAGCCCAACTAACTTGCTAAAGCTTCTTGAAATGAAGGACTATTTTGTGCTTTTTTCTTTGATCTCCAGTGCTTGTGTCATGCCTTGTAATAGTAGGCATTTGATAAATATTTGTTGAATTGAATTGAGTTGAGTTTAATGCCATCGCCTTTTCTTCCTTAGCATTAACCAACTGAGCTAAATGGCTGGGATAGAACAAAATCATTGAACCTTAGAGCTATAAAGGACCCCAGAGGTCAGCTGAATCAAGCCACACATGAAGCATCAATTCTATAGAAAGTATTACAGCCAAACTAATCTGTTTGCTAAGTTCAGAGAACAGCATTCTATCTTCTGCCTTGGTGTTTTTGCACAGTCTGTGTTCCATATTTGGAATACACCCCCTCCTCATCTCTACCAAGAATCCCTAGCTTCTGTCAAATTTCAGCTCAGGTGCTACCTCCTCCATGAAACCTGTCCTAATCTCATAACTGTTAATCCTCTTTCCCTCCTTAAATTAGCTTGCATTTACTTACATTTTATATTCCTTAGGTGAGGTAAGCTCTATGAGGTTAGGGCTTTAAAAAAACTGTCTTGATATATCTACTGTCTAGCACAGTGCAGAAAGGAGGAAATGCTTAGGAAATAAATGTTTGTTAAAATGAATCCAAATTTAACATTGGAGAAATGTTCAAGTTTAGTATTTGTATGTAATATAACTTCTCTGGAAAAACAAATCAGATTACCAAATATCCAAAAAAAATTGCTTTTGTTATATGAATGAATCCTGTCCAGAAAACTTGATGGTCAGTGACAGAATTTTGATGTCCCTTTCATAGGAAGATGGTACTTAAATAATGTATGTGCCATGAAATATTTTGTTTTGGTTATTTAATTTTGTTTTCTGACAATTGTAGCGACTGGATGAAGTGATCTAGCCAAACTCTTCATCCCTTCTTCCTGTCCTTCATGTGAAGCAAAAGGACATATCTTTGGAAAACCCTATTCCCTAACCACAGTCCGTACCCTAAAAGATGCCTGCCTTTGTGAGTGATGTTGGAAAATAGTGTTATTCTTGCACAAAATTGCTTGGCCTAAAAGGGGTCTGATCTTGAAATAATCCCAGTATCAGGCATCAACTGACCCACCAGCCACGGATAATGGAGACATATGATATGTTCTTTTAATGTTGACATCTAATTAAATGTACCTAGAAGCTTAAATATTACTAAATGTAGTTAGAGTTTAATTTCTGTTTCGTAAATTTCACATCACTTTGTTTGCCAAGTAGGACACAGTGTTTTTAATGGGTAATTTTTCAGAGTGGAATACAAGACTAGCATCCTGCATCTTTCACTAAAGGGACTAAGAATTATGCAGTGCAAAATGTACCAAATCCTTTGAAAGCCAACCCATCATGGTCTCCCGGAGACTATAAAAATTACAGTCTCCAATTAACCAACTGCTGGCTATACTTATTAAAATCCCTTTATGAGCTACATGAAGCAGACTTGATGTTAAGAGTATATTACATGTTTTCCTACCTCCAGTCCCCTGGCCCCTCTCCCTTTCCCACTAATAACTAGTTGTTAGCTTATCTGTGGCTTTTTTCCTGAGAATGAGAGATTAGGCTTTACTCAGTGCCTAGTATGATACCCAAAGATGTATATAGGATTGGGGATTTGTGTAATAGATCAGCTGTAGGTTTGAAACAAAGGCAACTCAAATACAAACTATGGTCTAGTCTAGAGCCAGCTTGGTCAGTACCTCGGAGAGCTCCAACCAGCCTGTAAGCCAAAATAAAATAGAAAATGAGATGTTACCTTGCTGCTGATCTATAGGTTTTTATATACTGACTTTGAGCTAGTTCTTCCCTTTTCTGATGTTGAAGCCTGTGATATTTAATGGGCTAACTCCTTCCAGTTTGAGCACTAATAATTGTTGATAGTGTGTGAATCATGGTGAAAAGAAATGTCCTGTTACTTTTTGGGATAGAAATTATGTATTAATAAGATTCGACCTACATTCTTTATGTATTACTGTTCCTGTAGGGTGACAAAGGCAGTATGGAGTTAGAATCAGTCTGTGAAAGTTGGTGGGTTCTGTGTTAATTTAAAGAATTTGTGGAAAATCTTTATAATATACCAACATCATGGCTTCTAAAAGTGATGACCATAAAAATAGGAGGAGTCAGTGGCATCTCAAGACCTAGGGAAAGAAGAATTGAAAGTCAGGTGTGCACTAATCTATTGGGTAGACATAGGCCAAGATTTCTACCCAGACAAAATGACAGATCAGAGGATCACAGATTTAGAGCTGGAAGGGACTCCAAGATCAACCATGTGGCAATAACAAAAGATGCTAATAAGTTGAGAATGGGGACTAGTTTTACAAGAGGATTTTTCAGGTCTTTAAAGTCAGATGAAGAGAATATCAGGATTGGATTCTTGGGCTTTGCAACTCAGTAATTCTATGTACTTGGTAGGTTTGGTGCTTTTGCTTATTTCCCTTGCTAGCACAAGTATTTTAAAGCCGCAATTCTGTCTTGAATCTTGGAAAAGTAGAAGGGATATCTCCAGGAGGATTAACCTGGTGTCAGTGTTAAAGAAAGACAAATGACTGTTTTCCCTCCCTCACTATCAACAGCAAGGTGATATGGCAGCTAGCAATATGGATATTATAAATGAAATGACAAGTTGCCAGGAGGAATTTAGAATAAATGTAGGTCCTTGAAGACAATAACTGCCTTTTTTTTGTCTTTGTGCCTCCAGTTCCTTGAATATAGTAGGTACTTAATAAATGCTGGTTGAATTGTGGAATTAAATTCCTATTAACTACCCAGAGTGGTATTATTTTGAAGAAAAAAGTTTCTTCTTGTGAACTGGGCCTTGGGTTGAATTATTCTTTTTTATGTGATGGGAAGAACTTCATTAATCACTCTAAGGACACTCCTTTCAACACTCCCTACATGATTGGGAGGGGGAGATTATTCAGATATTGAGTAAGGAGGTAGAATTTGAACTCTGAACACCAACCAGGTAGCCCTCAGGAGACATTCCCAATAGGTCAGGTGAAGCCCAGGATTGTAGGAAAAGAGATAACCCTATAGCCCTCAGGGCTTTGGCAGGTGAGTCTAATTCTTGGGGGAAGGTATATCATTTCAATTCCCTGGACTTCATTTTTTTAGTCTGTAAAATAAGCAAGTTGAATTAGATGATCCCTGTTCCTTTCAACTTTAACACTTCTTGATTCTGTACTGAGATCATATTCTGTCTTGGTCCAGTGTTTTTGCCAATTGTTAATTAGCCCTAATGGCTCAGTAAATAGTGAGGTCAGCCAACTAGCATTTAATGAACACTTCCTACTTTCTAGGCACTGTGCTAAGTACTGGGGATACAGAAAAGTGCAAAATATAGTCTCTGCTCTTAAAATGTTAACAGTGTAATAGGGGTGACAATAGATAAAAAACTATGATGTACAAACAAGATACAGACAGGATAAATTGGAGATAATCAATGGAGGGAAGGCAATCATATTAAGGGAGACTAGGGAGGGTCCTTGCAGAAGGTGGTATTTTAGCTGAGACTTGAAGGAATCCAGGGAAGGTAGAAGGCGGAGATGAGGAGAGAGAGAATTCCAGCCATGGGGGCTAGTCAGTGAAAGCACTCAAGATTGGGAGATGGAGTGTCTTTTGTGAGGAACACCAAGGAGGCCATGATGATAGTTAGCATTTATATAGCATCTACCATGTGCCAGGCATTGTGCAAAGTGCTTTATAAGTATCATCTCATTTGAGCCTCACATCAACCCTGGGACATAGGTGCTATTATGATCCCCATTTTACAATTGAGGAAATTGAGACAGAGATTAAGTGACTTTCCCAAGGTCATACTAGTGACACTGAGGCTGGCTTTGAACTCAGATCTTCCTGACTGCATGCCCAGCATTCTATCCATTGCACCACCTAGGTGCCTCAGAATGATGATGTTAAATTGAACTGCACATTTATTGCAGCCAGTCTTAACATTTAAAACTCTTTGTGACCCTGTAGACCAATTGTCCATGGAGTTTCCTTGGCAAAAATACTGGAGTGGTTTGCCATTTCTTTTTCCAGTGGATCCTTTTGTCAGACTAAGTCAGGTTAAGTGTCAGGTTAAGTGACTTGCCCAGGGTCACAAGTTTATGAGGCTGAATTTGAACTCAGATCTTCCTGACTCCAGATCCACTGAGCCACCAGCTGCCTCAATATTTAAAACACATATCTGTTACCTGAGTGTTGAGTGTTAAACGTATAAATGGGTGAAGATGTATATCCCTCCCTCTTCTTGTTTCTGCAGATACATATATATTCCGATGGGAGGCTCCCGCCAAGGGGTGCTGGGAATGCTGTTTTCCACAGCAATGACCTTTGCATTTGTGAGTTATTGGCATGGAGGGCATGACTATCTATGGTGCTGGGCAGTGCTGAACTGGGTAGGAGTGGCAATGGAGAATGGAGTCCGAAGGCTTCTGTCAATTCCCTTCATTCGTGACAGTTTGGTGAGTATGAGACACTTTATTTTGTGCCTTGGGCTGATGGGAGGGCAGGCTGGGCAAGAGAAAGGTGATTGTGAGATGGCTTTCAGGCACTGGGCTTTCCATGATGTCTACTAAGGAAATCAAATCCTTTAGTCCTGTCAGATTTAGTGCACAGAACCCCATATTCCCAGAGGCAAGACTAGATAAATGATACCATGAACATAGTCAATCAATGAGAGAGTCTCTGTCTTCAAGTAGCTTACATTTTATGGGAGGAAGAAACATCAAGAAACCAATCAGCAGATATTGATTAGGCACTTATTATTTACCAGACATTATGCTAAGGGCTGGAGATTAAAACAACAGTAACACAAAACAAACAAACAAAACCTGTTCCATATAATTAAATAAAGAGTTATTTCAGGGAAGTGGGGCAGGGCTCTTATGAGGCTCAGATAAGATAATGGATTAAAATACTTTGTAAACTTTGAAGAACTCTATAAATGCCTAAAGTTGTTGTTGTTGTAACTCCAATCATGAGGTCTCCAGGCTGGTGATGATCTCATTCTCTGGGCATTCTACTACTGTGCTCCTGTTGAGTTCAAGCAATATTTATAGAGCAATACAGGGATGTGCTGGTAAATGTTTAATAACACTCCATCCCCCAAATGGATGCACACATACTTTTATGTTTAATCTGCATTGATAACACTTCTTTTTAAAAGGCTAGACAGTCAATGATAGAATAAAGCATGCTCTGATTGGTAACAATTGTTGATTTCTGTGATGTAAATGCTTCCCTTAAAAATTTAACAGTCAGCTCTCACAAGTAAGTTAAAGCTGGCTCCAGCACACCAGAAGGTTCTGAATCTTCAGCCTAACATCCAAGGCCTTCCCAAATGATCCTATGCTACCATTTCTGCCTTATGTCACACAACCCTTTAGTTGTCCAATATATTAGGCAAGGTAGACTGTTTGCCATCCTTTGAACACATCCTTCCCTTTCCTGATTTTTTATTTTGTTTATGTTTTCTGCCATAGCTGGGATCCATTCCCCTTCACTGTCTTTATCCCTGATGAAATCCTTTCCATTTTTCAAGGGTCAGTTCTGATGCCACTCTGTCTCTGCTTTTAACTCTCATAGCTGTTATAACTCTCTGATTCACTTGTCACTTTTTACTTTTTATTATGTCATTTGTCAGATGGTCTTATCTCCTCTTTATGATTCCACAGGTGTCAAGGGCCACTGAGATTCCATGGGGTACCATTCTTTCCTTTCTCATCTACTTAGCAAGCCAGAAGATTTGGTTTACTGGTGCCCTTCCCCGTGTGTGTGTGTGTGTGTGTGTTTACTGCTCTATCTCTTATTTCTAAACTGAACTCCTACTACATCTTAGTTTGTTAATTTCAATTCAGCCATTTTCTTTTCTCTTAGGATATGTTCCCTGAAAAGATTACACTACTAGTTTTTTTTTCCTCTAAAGGATTTATTGCTAAACATTAAAGAGAAATAGATACAATAGGATATTACTTCAGTAATTTTTGGATTTGACAGTTCATCACTGTGAGTGTGCCACCTCCAATGATATGGAGCAGAGTTCCTGCATTTTTTAGTGGATAGTATTTATGGGTTGCCATGGCTCAAAAAATTCATTGCCCAATAGTTTTTCTTTTGGTGATAAACAACTCTGAACATTATTGGGTTGGTTCTCAGATAGCATATGGATAGTCCATCATTGATCCCCAAGTCAAAACCCTTCCAGCTTGATAGAATCAGCTATGGGTTTGATTCATTTACAAACATATTTAGTGTTTCTGCCTACTTCTCCAATGCTTAGCTATAATTTTGGGACTCCGGGGTCCTGCAGCACATCACAATCAAATCCTTTTTCATGAGTTTTCTAGAACACTTCCTGGACTTGGCATTGAGTATATCTTCCCAGACTTGTTGGCTGTGAATGTGGAACAATGTTATTCCTGATCTCCTAGATTCAGCTCCCCTTCAGGCATTGTACCTCCATCATTTTCTGCTAGATAACTCAATGTTCTGGGCTTATGTGCTTTTATTTCCTATGTTTTGCTTTTCTTTTTTGTGTACTTTTCTCTCTCAAAAGTGCTTTCTTCCACTGTATGTCTGCATCCCTTCCTACCCAGCCTATCATTTCTATTTCTAATTGATCTGCCTGAACTAAATTTCCTTTCCAGATTATAGTGGCTAATTCTGCCTTTGGCAGTGAAATTGTATGTTCCATTTATAGCTTTGGTAATCTACAACCAAGGGGCTAGCTTTCCATGTTTCTTTTTTCTGAACCTGGCTTCCCCATGGTGTTCCTAGCAGTGTCTCCTCCCAGACTGGTCTTTTGCCTTTTTTTTTATTTATTTTTTTTATTTTATTAATTTATTTTGATTTATTAACAATCATTTCCATATGCTTTAAGTTGAAAATTTTTCTCCCCCTTCTTCCCCCACCCTCCCCAAGATGGTGCACAATCTGATACAGGCTTTACATTCACATACCCATTAAACATATTTTCTCATTAGTGAAGTTGTAAGTAAAAGTTAAAATCAATAGGAGGAACCATCAGAAAGATGAAACAAAACTCAACAGAAGGTAAAAATAAGTGATAGCGATTTGATTTCCATAGTTCTTTCTTTGGATGTGGACAGCATTTTCCATCACGAGGCCTCTGGAGATGTCTTAGGTCCTTGTAATGCTGAGAAGGGTTCAGTTTAACAATATTTGTTGTTGTATAACATGGCTGTTATTATGTACAAAGTCCTCTTGGTTCTGCTCACTTCACTCAGCGTCAGACCATATAAGTCTTTCCAGGTTTTTCTGAAGTCAGCCTGTTCATCATTTCTTATAGCACAATAGTATTCCATTACATTCGTATACCACAACTTGCTCAGCCATTCCCCAACTGATGGGCATCCTTTCAATTTCCCATTCTTTGCCACCACAAAAAGAGCTGCTATGAATATTTTTGTACATATGGGTCCTTTTCCCATTTGTATGATCTCTTTGGGATACAGCCCTAGAAGTGCTGTTGCTGGGTCAAAAGGGTATGCACATTTTCATAGCCCTTTGGGCATAGTTCCAAATTGTTCTCCAAAATGGTTGGATCATTTCACAACTCCACCAACAGTGTATTAGTGTTCCAATTTTCCCACATCTTCTCCAACATTTATCATTTTCCTGTTTTGTCATGTTGGCCAATCTGATAGGTGTGATGTGGTACCTCAGAGTTGTTTTGATTTGCATTTCTCTAATCAATAACAATTTAGAGCATTTTAGGTCTTTTGCCTCTTGAAAGCTTTCCCCACATTGTCTTGTCTCTAATTCCTCTCTCTGAGCTAACAGGCATACTCTCAGATCAGTAGACTCTAAAAACCTGCCACTTCTTTTAGTTATTGGATTCTTAAATCAAGGGGCAGTATATCCCCCTATTCCTCATATTCCTTCTCCCTCCAGGTTCCTTGAACTTAGCCTTAAGGTTTTTAAACAAAATTTTAGACAGTACATATAAATGGGACATGCCTTCCTCATCCCCCTCACGAGAGAGGCTGGACTCTGCAAGGCTTCTCTACCAGATTGGCCTTGGGGACATGGATTGTGCACTACTCATCTGTGTATCCCCAGAACCTGGCAGAATCTCTTGAACGTAGTAAGTATTTAACAGTAGCTTTAACATATCAGTGGATTCATGATTTCATCAATGAGGACATTCCATTGTTACCCATTCATGCCTTTGACCAATCAATCCACAAGCATTTGTTATTATGTTCCTGTTACTGTGGTAAGTGTTGGGTTTGCAGAGATAAAAGAATACAGGAGTCAAACTCATGTGGAAAGGCAATATTCATGGAGGGAACAGGAAAAGTCTAAGGAAGCCAGGAACCCCAAAAATGTGAGGTGAGGAAGGAGATTCCAAGCACAGAGTAATAAAGCACAGAGATGGAATATCATGTGTGAGGAACAATGAGTACATAAGTATGGCTGGACCTTAGAGTGTATAGATGGTAGTAATGTAAAAGGAGGCTGGAATAGTAGGAGGAGGATAGGGTGTAAAATGCTTTGTATTCCAAAGAAGTTTGTAAGGTAATAGAGTGTCAACTGAGTTTATTGAGTAGGAATGAGGGTGACATTTATATTTTTGGAAAATCAGTCACTTTAGTGGCTGTGTAACATCTATCTGCAAATCCGCCCTTGAAGGTCAACTAGTGTGCTACAGATTCTTTTACATTTCATGACTACCAGCTTAACACATGACCCATCCATCTTTAAGAGATGATCTCATGCATTCATTATGTGACTTGTTCATTTTTTCTCCTAATCATGCATTTCCTGGATGACATTCTTTATGCTACTTGTTTTGCATAGGTCATCATTGGAAATATGCTACAGCTACTTATACCCATCATCCATCTCTCCATTGCCCTTTGCATCATCCAAAATATTGATTCTTTGGAGATTGTGGTGTTCCATGATCCATAACCCAATAGCATGAAAGAATATTTTAAAAAAATGGGTTTGAGGTCAGAGGGTAGTTCAAGATCTTGGAAACTGAAGAAATTTCCCAAGTGTAATTCATCCTATTCTTTTCCTTCTCTTCTGTTGTGGGCTCAGCTTACTGCCCATCTGTAGTGCCTCTCCATGATTGTAGTGCTGATGAATTAGCCCAGTGGATTGCCCACTTAATTACGTGTTATAGTCTGCTTATTAGTCTGCATTTTTCATCCATTTGTTTTTTTTTCTATGTGAAGGCACATCCATAGCTACTGAACTGAAACAGCCATTCACTGAACAATTGTAAAGAAAGAATGATCTTCCTGAAATTTCTTTTTTTTTAAAAATTCACATTTTCTTTCTTCCAAACAGGCAGTGGTTCCCAGTTATATATTTGGAATAAAGATATGTTCTTTCTTGTTACTACTAGTTATACTCTTTATCTATAGGCTTCTACTGCATATTCCTTAATGGCATTTGGACTTCCAAATGGGAGCTTCCTAAATGTAAGTGT